CCCCCCGGGCCCGGGGGGGCCCGCCGAGCCCCGCCCCTGTGCAGCCAGGCCCGGGCTGAGCGGACGCAGCTGCGGAGGTGGCGCTGAGGGCTCCCGCTCGGAGCCGGGAAGGACGGGACTCCTGCGGGGCTCCGGTCCCGACCCCTTCTGCTTCGCCGGGGTCCGGCCGCAAGCCCGCAGCTTCTGAGCTCCTCTTGCTGACCGGGAGCTTGGTTTGGGCAGGCTGCTGGGCCGGTACCGGGGCCTCCTGGGCGCAAGGCTCCGGACATCATCTTCCGGGGATCCCGCAGTCGCCCAGCTCAGGCGGTTCCTCCCCGGTGCTCTTTTTGGCCAGTTTCGGCCATTTCCAGCCGTGCTCCGTTCTGGACTCGCACCCGCCCCTCCCCTTGGTCTTAAATCGTAAAGTTGCAGTACAGGCAGATTTATAGCAAGTCAGCAATACAGCAGACAGTAAATCCCTAGCAAAACAGCCTTAGCAGCAGGGCCAAGCTCTATTCAGAAAACGCACTGAAGCAGAATGGAGGCGAAAGGCGATGCTCCTCCATCTGCTGAACCTTATTGTGCTCAAGGAGCATCTCTCGGGTCTGAGGGCCTGCTTGGGCCCCCAGGGGTCAGCACGGAGTCCGTCACATTGGGGGGCTTGCGGAAAGGAAGGGCAGGGGTCCGCTGCTGCCATCGGGGGCTCGGCCAGGCTGCCCACCCTCAGAAGGTGCTCTGCCAACCCGAGCTTCCAGTGCCAGCCGGGCAGCAGCAATGCTTGGGGTGCAGCGCGTTGTTTTACTTAAATGACTGTATAAATATAAACAGAAGAGGGTGCTGGAAAGCTCAGCTGATGGTGACGTCTCCTGCTTTCTCTGTTCTGGGGAAACAGAGCAATGAGGCCGCAACTGCTGAGCTCGAAGAGGGTGTCGGGTCACGGCGAGTTCCTCTTTAAAGACTTTCTTGCTGACCGTAAGAAAAAAGTCCTGCCTTCCAGGGGAAGTTGTTCCTGACCCACCAAATCCCCCCCTGAAATCTTCGCTGCTGATCAGACACAGAGCAGAAGCCAGCTGGGGTCTCTGCATGCCGGGTGCCGGGGGAGGCCCAGTCCCGACAACCCCAGGAGGAAACCTACAAGCCAGCCACCGCACCCAAGGCCTGGAGGCCTGCGGTAAACCCCACCAAAGGTCCGGCAATTTGGGGCTTCCTGGCAAAGAAGAGTGGGCAAGCACGCCTTGAGCTTGCTTCAAAACACTTGCAAGTTGTTCTTACCAACTTCAGAAATGTTCAGGTTGCCCTTTGCTGCATTTTCCCTGCCCCTAGAAGAGCTCACCCAAAGAACACTATGGGTTTTTTCCGCACAATGGCCCCATTGCAAGGAGATTGAACCTGCTTCCCCAAAGCTGCCTTGATTCTTCCTGCTCCTCCTCTAAGAGTGCCCACCTGAACCTGGCTGGTTTTGAACAGCTAACCAGAGTTGAACCAGTCCTTGGATGGGGGGCCATCAGGTGATCCCAGGGCTGTAGATTGGGAATCCACGCATCACCCCATGGGGAAGCGGTGGCGTTGTTTCCAAGCAAACGGCGCAGCTTTCCCAGGAGTCAAGCTTCGCTTGGAGGGGGGACCTTTCTTCTTGGTTCTGGGGAGGCTTTGAGCCCTCCAGCTGGACCTTGGGAAGGAAGTCCAGGCATTTGCTGCTGCTTTTTCTGGATGTGTCAGACCTTCCTTTTATTAAATTTAGGGGTTGCTTGGCTCCTCCGGCTGAGTTTTCATTTCTGCAGAAGCAGAGCTGGGCCACGTGGCTCACATGTCCAGGCCACCACCCAGCCAGATGGACTTCCAAGCAGCACCAAAACATAAATGAGGAAGTTTCCTTGCCAAAGCAGAGGAGGGAGAAGAGAAGACGCCCTTTTCCTTCAGATTCACTTTGCACAATCGTCTCCGGAGGGACAAGATGAGCCCCTGCGCCCTCCTCGCCTTCCTGCTCTTCCACCTTGCAGGTGAGCGAAAGGGACGGCCCTGCCGAGGCACGTCTT